GAAAAAAAAATTATATTAAAATTTTATATTTGAGTTTTGTTGAATATGTTAAACTTGAACTGTTCTCTGTAGAGGGTGAGTTAAATTATTTTTACGCTGAAAATCAACAAAAAAAGATGTCATTTGACAAATGGCACCCAAACTTTTGCGGCCAATCAGATTTCAGATTTTCAGGTTTTATAAGTAGCTGTACGGGGGTGGTGGAACAGGGACGGGGGGAAAAGTCTTGATTTATGATCTCAATCTATGATCTAATGATTTTTCTATGATTTTTTCTGGTAATAGGGACCTCCGGGGTTGCAAGGACCTCCAGGGGAGATGGGGCCAGAGGGGAAAGGAATTGTGGGATCTAAGGTATCAAAACGTAACATTTCTGTGAACAATAAATAACTGTGACTTGAGAGCTGCGTTCTCCAAACTTTTATATTTAGCCCAAAGGACCTTTGTATTAATAGGGAGACAGAGGTTTACCTGGGGGTGCTGGACCACCTGGACCACCGGGAGTAGGCCTTATGGGACCAAAGGTCAGTCAGTGCCTGAACTGGTCAGATCATTTAAAACATCAACTGAACGATGATATAGGAATGAATACATTTGTCCCTTAATCTGTTTGCTGGGTTTACTCTTCAGGGTGCTCCTGGCCGATCAGGCCCCCCTGGTCCTCCAGGTCTACCTGGAGAGGGAATCCAAGGCCCTAAGGTGAGACCCCTCACTATTAGTTTTCTGAGTTATGGATACTGTGGACTTTTGTGATTTCCAGTTGGAATTTCGAATGGCAGTAAATTCTATTCTGACATTTCAGGGGGAGCCAGGATTTCAAGGACTGCCAGGCCCCAGAGGACCCCCAGGAGACAGCCTCCCAGGAGAGAAGGTGCTAGAAACATGAACTTTAACATATTACAACATAGTACAAGTTATTATAGGTAAAACATGTCTGATATGCAATCACTGTCCATTTTACACTACAATATTTTCAATAACATAAAACTGTAATAAAAAATAAATAAAATATAAAATAAGTTCAGTTTGCTAGTCAAGTGCAATGCTAGATGATGTAGAACATGAAGAATGAAGTTAATAATATAATATTTAATTAGAATAAATAAAAATAAGAATGTAGAATAAAATAATGTAAAATTAATATCTAGAATGCCTCATATTTGAGAAGTGGTGATCAAATCATGAGGTAGGTAATTTGAAAAAAAGACTAAATGGAAATGAAAAGTTTGAATAAAACAAAATTATTGTTTAATATGTAATATTTTAATATAATGTAACATTTCTAAAGTAATATTTTTAGATGTTAAATTATAGGTGTTAAGTTATGTATGTTTTTTAATATATATATATATATATATATATATATATATATATATATATATATATATATATATATATAATAACACTTTGGTGTGTAGTGTTAATTTAATTTAAACTATTAATATTACAACTGAGTGGAAGTACAAGGCAGGAAGTACAAGGCAGGTGTTTCTAATAAAGTGGCCAGTGAGTGGAAGTACAAGGTAGGTGTTTCTAATAAAGTGGCCAGTGAGTGGAAGTACAAGGTGGGTGTTTCTAATAAAGTGGCCAGTGAGTGGAAGTACAAGGTAGGTGTTTCTAATTAAGTGGCCAGTGAGTAGAAGTACAAGGTGGGTGTTTCTAATAAAGTGGCCAGTGAGTGGAAGTACAAGGTAGGTGTTTCTAATAAAGTGGCCAGTGAGTGGAAGTACAAGGTGGGTGTTTCTAATAAAGTGGCCAGTGAGTGGAAGCACAAGGCAGGTGTTTCTAATAAAGTGGCCAGTGAGTGTGTAGAACATGTCCTTCGTTGCAGTCTTAAACACACAGTTACAAATTGTTGAAGCACTGAATATGTTCACTGCCTTTAGGGTAACAGAGGTCTAACAGGTGAACGTGGGAGGAAAGGAGACAGGGGGGATTTTGGACCACCTGGACAAACAGGACCAGAGGTCTGCACACATTCATATCCCTATGCATCATCAAAGCCTTAACTGTTGATAGGAACATGTAATGGCTCGTGCTGAAGTGTCTAGATGTAACAGGCTTAATTCTTTGATCATTTTCTTATTCATGTCTCTAAAATGCTTAGTAACTCTCAGTAAATGAAAAATGAGGGAAAAATCATAATGCAATGTGTTTTTGAAGGGAAAACTTGGAGAGAAGGGGGAACCCGGCCTTTCGGTAAGTACAAAGCAAACATTTTGAGATTTTTTTTTTCTGTATCTAATTAAACATTGTAATCTGATACAAAGCTGATGTTTTTCACTTCACTGACAGAGAGAAGAAGTGATTATGATAATCAGAGAAATCTGCGGTAATACCACATACCCACACCTCCAAAATATAAACACAATACGACAACAGTTTACAGGTTTTGTATTGTTTTATAACAGGGATCATAGTTTTAAAAATATTCCACTCTTATATTTTATATTCTGTATCTATTCTTACTACACTTAGTGCTCAATGTGACACCAGCACCACCTTTACTTCACTCTTAGCAAAAAGAGTTACATGTAGAGGAAAAAAGGTTCTATCACTTGTTTTAGACCGTTTTACGGGATTGTTTAAAGGGCCCGAATCCTGCATTTTTGCTGTATTTTACTTCTTTATCTCCTGAGGAGCAACATTTGTTTAGTTTTATGTACCAAATTCATTTCATAATTCATTTTTACATGACCGTTTCTTCTTTTATGCCTTAGAATTAAAGTGTTTGTTGGTATGCCCTTAAGACTGATAAACATTCGCATGCCAAATATAGTCAGTTAGAAAATGAACAAAACATGTAATTTGACCACAAACCTTCGCATATGATTGTATTGAAATGAGCTCTGTTCTGATTGGCTGTCCTGTACTGTGGCTCAGGGATGAAACACTACTTATAACTTCAGCGTGAGTGGGTGGAGCTAAACTGCTGTAGGCTGTGTGGCATGATAAATGTGAATGCATTGGCTTATGCGACATCATAAAAACAGTGGATTGGGAAAAGGCTGCTTGTGCACAGAGCAAACAGTCAGGGCCGATCATCAGTTTCACCGTCTGAGAAGTGGTTCAGCGATCAGCGTTTTACTGTACTTTTGTTTAGTTGTATTTTTCTGTTATATGGGTCATTCTACAGAAACGTCCACTCTTCTATCTATCTATAGGAGTCACTGTTGTTTCTGATCCTCATTGGTGTTACACATAATAAAGGAAACACCAGAGACATTTTTAATGAACAATGCATTTTACAAAATGGCTGCTACAGAGCATCAAACCACATGTTGTCAATCATGGAATATCCACTAAAATACAGAATTTAATCCATTTGTGTTCTATTTTTTCACAATGACCTCAGAATAAAGTCGGTCACACCAGTGACTTCAGCTAAAAGCTTCTTATGAAATCATGAGCTAAATGAGAAAATCTCTGATAACTGAAAGTCACAGTGGACTCACCATGTGCTTTTCTTCATAGATCCTCAGAAAACAGGTAAAAGGAAGTCAAGTGATGTCATCAGTGTGACTTTTATTTCAAAATAAGAGATTTTTTGTTACGCAGTAACACCAGTGACACGACTCCTGGGGAACTTTCATTATATATTTTATAATATTTATTTGCCATTTTTTTCTTTATGTCATTTAAATCATATATTTCATAGTCATGTATAGATTATTGTAGTTAAAATTGCAGAATTTTTTTTTTTTTACCTCAAAATATGGCCTCAGCCTTCACACATGACTGTGAGGACGAGCTCTTCTGTGGTGCTTGGAATTCTAGATAATAGATTTAAAACCAATATTGCTAAATTGAGGCTCAAGAAGGTGTAACTGTTAAAATAACTTGTTGTTTTATTTTAAAATATAAATAAATAGTAACCCTAACGTTTATCAACATAGGGTTCTGTAAACGCTAGGGACACAAAAATGGACGTTTCCATAGAATGACTCTTACAGTATTTGTACATAGAGAAATGTAACTTTACTGCGTATGAATGATTTTATACCTTATTCAGACATGGGCTCTGTGCCCTGATATTGTTCTGTTGGTGGTTAAAAAATCAGACCACATGTTTATTCGTGTTTATTCTCTAGAAAATGTTTATTTTCATGTTTATTCTCTAAAAAAAACAGCCACGAAGACATTAAATCCATATTATTGGCCAGATTAAGTACATGAGATTAATATGCATTGGAACGATGTCATTGTCAATCAATACTTACATCTGTAGGGGAATATACCACTGTTAATGCTGACTTAGTCCTTTGATTGATCAGATATTAAAAGCCATAATTATAGCAAATGTAACTGCTAAAATGGCAGCATTCAGTTTTTAAATTCTTTGAAGTGTTAGTCTAACCTGATTCATTCAGTACATTTTCTAGCTGTAAAGTTGTGAAAAAACAATACAACATTAATAGTAGCTCATCCGTGTTGGCTAGCTGGCCAGCTTTAACATTACAACGAGCAAGTAGCCAGATTTACACAAAATAAGACAGGTAAGCAGCTCCTTTTAACCACTTCATTCATATTTCAAACCTGAGCTTTATAACACTGCTAAATAAGACCACCCCAACCCCTCATAGAGTGCTGAGCTAGCCAGTTCAACTACTGCCACTGATGACTGCTTCATTCAGTACTTCAGCTCAAGCTCAAACTGACTGTCTGCGCAATGCCCCATGGGTATGCAGGCCCAGTGGACTTATTTAGTACCTCCCTAGCTTTCAAGAGTTTAGCTCTGCCCATTCACAATAAAGTTGTATGGAGTTGTGGCAACACAGACTGCTTTGTGTATGAGGCACAATAGAGGGCAGCCAATCAGAACAGAGCACATTTACATATATCAGTCTTAAAGGTGCAGTAACAAACACAGCCTGGTTAATTTGAAGGGATGAAGAGAGGTTGGAAAATGGTCAAGTAAAAATGAATTATGAATATTTTTTGTACAAAAATTGCAAAAATGTGATAAGTGGACAAAACAAAATAAAAAAGTAGGATCTGGGCCCTTTAAAGGTGTTGGAATAGGACGTGATTTGTGATTTGGTTTTATTTCCCCTGTTTTTTTTGCTATGTTTGCTCTCAGGCTGTGGTATGAAGTGCAGAGAGAGTCCGCTGGAGTTGGTGTTTGTGATCGATAGCTCCGAGAGTGTGGGCCCGAAGAACTTTGGGGTTGTGAAGGACTTTGTGAACGCGCTGATCGACCGCGTGTCTGTGAGCAGAGAGACTACGCGGGTGGGGGTGGTGCTGTACAGTCACATAGACATGGTGGTGGTCAGCCTGCAGCAGCTGTTGGACCTGGCCAGCGTGAAGGCCGCAGTGAGGAACATGCCCTACCTCGGCGAGGGCACTTTCACAGGCAGCGCCATCCACCGCGCCACGCGGCTCTTCAAGGCCTCGCGCCCAGGCGTCAGGAAGGTTGCTGTGGTGCTGACGGACGGGCTGGCGGACAGACGGGATGAGGTGCTGCTGGAGGACGCGGTAGAAGATGCGCGCGCTGCCGGCATTGAGATATTCGTTATTGGGGTGGTGAAACACAGTGACCCTTCGTATGCCAGCTTCCAGAACGAGATGAGCTACATAGCTTCAGACCCTGATGAGGAGCATGTCCACCTGATCGATGACTTCATTAGCCTGCCCAGTGCGTAAACCGCAGGCTTATTAGTCGGTTTTTAATCTTCCTGCAAAAAATCTGCATTAACTAAATGGTTAAGATAAATAAAGTCGTTCAGAGTGGTTTGGTGTGAAATGCTCCATTCTAGAGAAACTCCCCGAGTCAGAATTGTTCACAGTGGTGGTGATAGGAACCAGACATCTAAAAGTTGTTACATTAAATGCTTATCGCTGTTGTCGGAACAAAACCTCGTATCTCCAAAATGGTAACTTTACAGGAGAAGGAAAAAACATACTTTGCTTTTAATGTAAGTCAATGGAACCAGACGTTTTTCCAAGTGGTTTTGGGCCGTTTCTTTTGGTCCATTCATCTTGAAATTTAAACACTGTGTAAAGGGCAACAGGTATTTTCAAATTATGTCAAAAACTGAAAAATGTCAAAAATGGAGATATGAGGTTTTCTGCTGACAACAGCGATATGAATACACTGCCTGACTCCTGACAAATTGTTTTATGATTGTTTTAAGAAGGTTTTGGCCTAAAATGTTTGTTTTTATATCCATTCATGGTGGAGAGATAAAACAGAACCCATCAACATCAACAAGACGTGTGTGCTTTTGGATAATAATATAAAATAATAAATTGGCTATATTTGTGTTGTAGACATCATGATCCCTGGTTCCTATCCTCACTGTAAAGAAATCAGTGAGTTTCTCTACAATGGCATATTCCACATCAAACCTCTTGTTTTGTTTACATCTCAACTACTGGACCATGCAGACATTTAGCAGTTTAGTTGGTAATGCTTTCTTTCACAATCCCTTAAGTTCTGGGTTTAACCAGGTAAGTGTGAGACACAAAATCCAGACTACTAGATAACTATATTTGGTAACAAGTTCCAAGACAGTCTAACTAACTTACACTGAAATGCCCAACAGGTTCTAGGTATTAACTGGATAAGTATGCGATACAAACTCCACCGTACTGTGTAATTATTCTTGGTTAAACATAGCAGTAGCTATATGGTATAAAAATACTATATCTGAGTAAAGTACAAAGAGCCTTACATAGTACATACCTGTTTATTACCTATAACTGAAACTGAATCTACTCTGTAATAGAAAGCAATGACTTTTACTGTTACTGAGTCCTTAACTTTTATTTCAGGTAACTATCTGTGTGTTGTTCAGCATCATTTTACTGCATATAACTGACTTGGAGGTGTTTCTGTTTGTTCCTGCTTCTACTTGTGACATTGCATTGAAATATAGTGTATATTTGTGCTAAACAGCTTGTAGTAATAGGAACTGTTAGTCTTTTTAATAAACTATATGGCCAAAGTATGTGGACACATGATTAAGTGTGGGTGTTAAAGCCATACAGACTACTAACAGGTGTGTGTAATCAAGCACATAGCCATGCAGTCTCCATACATAAACACTGAGTGCGTTTTACATGCGCTTAATAATCCGATAACTGCAGAAAATCTGATTTTGTCAGTAATGTGATCAACGCTTTTACATGCACTTGAGTAATCAGATAATGGGGAAACCCCGGGTCTACATGAGTCGGGCAGTAATCGGATTTCTGCTTTGCAACCAGCCAATAAACTCACAGACGAAGACGTGATGTAAACATCAAACTTCATGCCGTGACTTTACCTGAAAGTAAGAACATACACATCTAGAAAATGAGGAATATTTAAATCCTTCATTTAGTTGAGAATGTAGTTGGTTTCAGTGTCGCGCAGACTGAGAAATCTGAAAGAAATCAGAGTAAGAGTTCACATGCTCTGAGAAATCTGACTACTGAGCTGAAATCCAGCTCTCTTTATCAGATTTCTTAATCGGATTTCTAGATCAGGTTATGGTGTTTGCATTACCGTTTGAGTAATCAGACAACTGCAGAAATCTGATTATGATCGGGTTATTGAGAGCATGTAAACGCACTCATTGAGTCATACTGAAGAGCTCGGTGACTTTAGATGTGGCACTGTCATAGGATGCCACCTTTGCCACAAGTGAGTTTGTGAAATGTCTTCCCTGCTAGATCTGCCCCAGCCAACTGTAAGTGCTATTATTGTGCAATGGAAACATCTAGATGCAACAACAGCTCAGGCATGCAAACTCACAGGGCGAGGCTGTCAAGTTCTAAAGTGCATTGTACTTAAAAATCGCCTGTCCTCTGTTGCCTCTACAGAGTTCCAAAGTCCCACTCAAAGAATCATCAGCACCAGAACTGTGCATTGGAAGCTTTACGAATTGGGTTTCTGTGGCTGAGCAGCTGCAGTCTAAGATCACTATGCACTGGCTGTGTCGGCTGTGGCCTGCACAGAGTGGCCTGCACAGAGCCCTGATCTCAACCCCACTGAACACCTTTGGGATGAACTGGAACATCGATTATGAGCCAGGCCTCCTTGTCCAACATCAGTGTCTGACCTCACAAATGCTCTTTTGACTGAATGGGCACAAATTTCCCAGAGACACTCTCCAAAATCTTGTGGAAAGCTTCCCAGAAGAGTGGAGCTGTTATAGCCACAAAGGGATTTCATATTAATGGCCATGGTTTTGGAATGGGATGTCCAACACGCTCAAATAGATGTGATGGTCAGGTGTCCATATACGTTTGGCCATATAGTGTGATTACACAGCACTTTAGTCTTAGTCTAAAACCTGTTTGGCATTTCAGTGTAATTTATTCAAAAAAGAAAATTATTTATTTCAAAATTTACAACTTTGGGGTACATCATATCTACCTGACCAATACAGGGAATGTAGGAACCTATAAAAGAAAGTGTTATATAGTGTTATATAGCATACTGATTATCATTAGGAGTGATTTCAGCAATAGGGACACACCCAGTGGTGCATTATAGGTCATCAGTGATGTTTCAGCCAACAGTGCTAATAATGAAACACTCGCTGTATCTAAATCTAAATTTACTTTCCTTGTTTTCACAGCCTTGGAAGGCGTGTTACTAAGTCGGATCTGTGACCAGGATAATGGTGCAATATTCAGTCCAGACCAGAATGTTCTGTTCCCACCTAAACCTGAACCTGGATTAGAGACTCCAGAGATATTCACCGATGATAACTTCGGTACAGCTGGCAAAGAGGTGAGAGGAGCGTGTTACATTTTCAGATATGCTGATATGTCGTCATTGTCGCGCGGCACATCGAATTGCAGCAGTGAAACCACCTTTAACCCTTTAGTACTACATTTGGACATTTTACCAGCTTCACAAATTACTGCCCCCGTACAGTTCTGGGCAGGGATTTTAAAGGACTGTAACTGCAGCTTCACTATCACCCAACCCAGGTTTCTATGTTTAAACTTTCCATAGTCATGCTCTAGCACAGGGGTCGGCTCTTCTACTGCCCTGTTGACCCTCCACGGCAGAATTAGATTTGTAGGTAAAAATAAAATAATCCTCTTTACAGTAAAATAAAGCTCTGCTGATCGTTCAACACAGTTTAACAATAAATGGTCTTAAACTCTGGAGTTAATGTAGAACTGCTGATTCACCCTTTAACCCTGAAGATCAGTGCAGACTGCTGGTCACCATAGTAACACATACACCAGTCTCGCCTGGCTGGTAGCTAACAAAACAGCAAATAGAAAGATTTAAGATGAACATTGATCATTCGGAGACAAACGGACGTTATTATAAACTTTGCGTTTATAATCACTCCAGTTGGTTTCCTGATACGTTTAATCTGCAACGAGAAACTGTCAAACACTAAAACGTCACAAGGCTGAAGTCGCTTTTCGTTTGTTGTTTGAATTTTCCCGTTCCACCTTAAATGGTGTAGCAGTTACATTCTAGCGCCTCAGGCACCATTTAAGGTGGAACTGGAAGATTCGAACACAAAGCTGGCGAATGAGAAGCGACTTCAGCCTCATAAAAAGTTGAACATTAAGAGTCATTTTACAAGAAACTATTTCACTTTTGAGGAAAAGTTTCCTGCTGGAGATGCGAGAAAAGCAGCTTTAGGTGAGCTAAAGCTTAAAGCAGAGCAAAGTAAGTCTGTGTTTTCGGTTATATTATACAGCCAAGATGGTAAAATAAACATAAGAAGTTGTGGCACTCAAGGTTTGGGTTAACATTTGGGTTGCGACCCCTGCTCTAGCAAATAGTTACTTTTATTACAGGACCTTAGTTATTAATTATTACAGGACCTTAAGAAGATCGTAATAGTGTGACTGAAGTGGCAAACTGTTAAGTACAGTTAATTGTTTGAAGTACAGTGCTGTATTTAATGTCCAGTCAAAACAGCCATTAAGTGCAATTAAGTTTATTTTTGAATGTCAGGAAAAAATCTGAAAACATATTTAACAGAAAATTAGAAACCTCAACTTAGAAATGTACTACACTTTTACTGTGTCCACTCTTTACCTTTATTCCAGCTTCCATTCTTTTCAGGAGACTCACTTTCAGTTCCTTAAAGAATCTGCAGACACACCTCCAAAGTTCAGTCTTAGAAGCTGGTTGATCATTTTCTGAAGTAATCAAACACATTCAGTGGTGCTGAGGTCTGGACTCTGGGGTGGTCAGTCCATCGTTCAGCTTCTTTGTTTGATTGTCTCCTTTTCTCAGTGAGGTTCTTCTTGAACAGCTACACATCCTTTCAGACCCACAGCGCTGAGTCGTCTTCTCACAGTGGAAGGATGGACAGAAACACCTGTGGATGTTTTCAGATCTGAAGCAGCTTGATTTTCTCCTCTCTCCCAGAGATGAAAGCTTTAAGTGCTGTTTATCTGAAGGGGGGCAGTGTTGGTGTCTACCTGGTCTTCCAGGTGGCTGTTAGGAGCCCCATTTTCTCTGTAGCTTTTAACCATTTTTAACAACAATTTTGGAAACTCATGTTTTTTATTGGACTTTCATTGATTTTCTTCATCAATGCATTTGGATTACTGTATATCTATATATCTCCTCAGAAATATCTCCTGAAAAATGAATAACTCGTTCTGACTGGAAATGAAAAAAGGGTAACCTCTGACTTTTGCACAGTGCTGTATTAGTTTGTTTTATTGCTATCTACTCTACATTTTTTGATCTAACACACTCAGTTGTGTTAATTCACAACACCTTTAGTGTTTTCACTATTTTGTCACATTTTAGGCCAGAATACAAGAACGTTAAAGGTAAAACAAGATGTGTTGACCTTAACTGCACGATGATGTATACATTGTTTTTAACAATTCTGAATGCACAAGATTCAACTCATCAACTGGTTGCCAAGGTTTAGACTTCAACACTTCTCCATTCCCCACAGACTGAACCTCCGCTGGAGCCCGAGACTCCCTCTCCCCCTCATGGAGAAGATGGCAGTGCTGATAATGAAATCGAGAAGGGCAGGAAGACGTCGTTTTTCGAGGGGTCAGTGAACGAGCTCAGTGAGCTCACGGCAGCTTCGTCTGGCAGTAGAGCCAATCTCCAGTCCCCTGGCGTGTCTGTGATGGGACCTCCTAACCCCGCCGACTGGCTGCCTGGCCTGGAGAGAAGCCCACCTCCACAGATTCTACCTCCCCCTCGACAGCCCGACGGCTTCATACCAGGTACGCACCTTCAGTAACATCTCTTACTGCAAAACCTTGGAACATATGACTCGTTTACAGATGTGTAGAGTAGCCTAAACCCGTACTCAAGTAAAAGTATTGTTACATGAATAATAATAATGATAATAATAATAATAATAATAATAATAATAATGACTGGAGTAAAAGTAAAAGTACCTTTCCAAAAAATAAGGACGTGTTCACTTATTAACACTCAGAAAATCAACAAAAACATTTAAAACAGGGCGCCTAAACTTTTGCACACACGACTGTGCACTGAACACGTGGTCTCTCATTATCCTCCATCTGCTGTGTTTGTTCCAAGGTGTGGACTGCAGGCAGCGGTTAGACCCTGGGCCGTGCAGGAACTACGAGATTAAATGGTACTATGACCCCGAGGCCAACGCTTGCGCTCAGTTCTGGTACGGTGGTTGCCATGGCAACAGCAACCGCTTCGGAACGCAAGACAGCTGCAGGAAAACCTGTGTACGAACGTAACCGGACATTCACCGAAGCTCAAAATGGCTCGTTGCTTTTCACCGTGGTGATTTAGCGCATTTCCTTTGGCGTATATTGAATTGCATTGCACTGTACAGATAATGAGCTGTTTAGTTCACTGGCCTCTTGAGAGGAAGATGCTGCAGCCAGCTATAGCCTACAGGTTGAATATACAGGTTCATGGACTAAAAAAACAGAGTTCGCTGTTTGAACTGATTAACAAAGTTATTAGGACTGTGCGTTTCATTGTGTAAGGATTTAGTGATCTATTAGGCAAATTTATATGGTTTACAAGAGCTAACAATAATCTATTTACCCTCATGCAGTGTAAATACAACATGTCCTACATAGTATAAATCCTTTTTCTGGAAAATGCCACTTACTGGCTGTAACTACATGGTAGAGGCATGTACAGTACTGTGCATTATATTTTCCCCCAAAAATGAAGGCGTCTTTGTCATTTTGGGGGGTCAGTTTTCCAGACACAGATTAGGTTTATGTTATTTCACTATAAGGGACTTTTTTAATGAAGAATCTTTGTTGATAGTGCGATTTAAGTCTAGATTTAATCCTTGACTAGGCTTAATTAGCAGCCTGAAAACCACCCCAGAATGTCTGTGTTCAAAACTGCTGTCTTTAATAACTGAACTAACAGTAGTTTCCAAGTTTTTGTTCAGTTTTATAATCTGGCCTAAGGAATACAGGAATTTTATAGAGTAAAATTGTACTTGAAACCCTGCTACACGGCATTGACTTAATCATGCCATAACCGTGTTATGACAGTTTTCGTTCATTAATATTCACTATATGGCCAAACGTATGTGGACACACCTCCTAATTACTGAGTTCAGGTGTTTCAGCCACACCCGTTGCTAACGTGTATAAAATCAAGCACATAGCCTTGCAGTCTTGATAGACAAACACTGACTAAAACTAAACTTGGCACTGTTATAGGATGCCACAAGTCGGTTTGTGGTATTTCTGTCCAGCTAGATCTGCCCCAGACAACTGTAAGTGCTATTATTGTGATACGGAAGCATCTCGGGAGCATCTAAACAAAGCGGGGCTGCCGAGTGCTGAGGCATGTTGCATATGAGAATCGCCACCATCTGTGGCAGAATACTGTTCCAGAATACTTCTGGAAGCAACATCAGCAAAAGAACTGTGTCAGGAGCTTCATGAAATGGCTTTTCATGGCCGAGCAGCTGCAGCCAAGCCTAAGACCACTTTTTGCAACACCAAGCGTCAGCTGGAGTGGTGTAAAGCACGCTGCCACACCAAACTCCAGATCACAATATGTAGTATGTATGTAGCCCCACTGAACACCTTTGGGATGAACCGGAATGTCAATTGCCGGCCAGACCTTCTCATCCAACATTGTGTCTGACCTCACAAATGCTCTTTTGACTAAATGGCCACAAATTCCCACAAACACACTCCAACATTTTGTTGAAGGCCTTCTCAGAAGGGTGGAGGCTGTTATATGGCATATATGACTAAATGTCAATAACCTTAGTTTTGGAATGGGATGTCCAACAAGCTCATATAGGTGTGAAGGTCAGGTGTCCACATACTTTTGACCATATAGTGTAACAGTGTCATGTTACCATTACCGGTAACCGTAATGACAGATGTCATAATGTTTGATGTCATGTCACATATCTATTTTTACATATTCTAGTACATAAAAACAAACATTACAACATCTGTAATGACAATAACTGCTAATGGCAACATGACATTGTTATTAATGAACAAATGACAGCATATAGCACGTTTATAGAATGTTTATGACAATGTTATGTAGCAGACATCAAGAGTTACTTTTAATAGATGTTCTTTATAGTTACATAGTAAGTATCTTAGTGTAATATCGTAATGTATGGGTGTTGAATTTACATAACAGGCCTTGCCTTTTAAACTAATGGTTACACAAAGAGGCATTTGCACGACTTCTGAATTCACATTCTGGACTCCTGCAACATTTTTTGTCTCTCTTCTCGTAGCAAGTCTAACTAACTATCCCAGAATACTGCATCAGCTCATGTTCTGTTCCTCCTCTTTGTAAAATGTGTCTTACTGTGTATTTCAGAGAAGTAGAGACAGTAGATAATTTTATATTTTAATAGCAATGAATGTAGACATTGTCATATTTTTGAAAACATAAATGTTAAAAACGTGCTGTAAATCAAATTGTTGGAAAAAACAAACAACTAAAAGCTCATTTTGCAAGTCAATACTACAAATAAATAAAATAAATAAAATACAAGCTGCTTTAGATTATAGTATATTACAAAAATGTATTCACAGAACACGTAATGCAGCCTCTGGATTACATCTGTACTTGTACCCGTACGGACGGAGATGGTAGGTGAAGTACTCCAGCATGTACATTTCTTCTGGACGTATATAATGAAAGGATATCGCTAAATCCGAGCAGCACCCAGGTCCCTGGAAAGAAACAAAACCAACACCAGTGTATTAAATAAGGTACATTTGAATGTGAATGTCACATGTTTGCTAATCTGAATTAGAAATCTTCATTTGCTTTGAAGGAAAATGCATGTATCAAAAACATACATTGAATTTCATGCAAATTGAACTTTTTTTCATGGAGCTGAACGTGTTCTTTTTAAAAAATGTCAAGATCAGGCGGCCTTTTTTGGTAAAAAGTGAGCAAATTTTGTGTCTTCAAATGTTACCAAACACAGTCTTTGACTAACAAAACTATTAACTTACTATATAGGTGCACTTTGTAGTTCTACAGTTACAGACTGTAGTCCATCTGTTTCTCTGATACTTTGTTAGCCCCCTTTTACCCTGTTCTTCAGTGGTCAGGACCCCCATGAACCCTCACAGAGCAGGTACTATTTGGGTGATGGATCATTCTCAGCACTGCAGTAACACTGACGTGGTGGTGGTGTGTTAGTGTGTGTTGCGCTGGTCTGAGTGGATCAGACACAGCAGTGCTGCTGGAGTTTTTTTTCAAGACAGTGACAACAGAATATCTTTGTGACTAAACTTAAACATCCCTGTTTGAAAGTTTGACAGTCCAAAGCTTGGTGTTGACTCTCGATTCATGAATGCCTAGAATATTTCTCTGTTTTTATATTGTTGTTATATAAGAATAATTTATGGATTTCTTCATATCCACCACCAGCACTCCTGATTTCACTTAATGAAGTATTGATTAGCCAAATTAGGGATCGGATGATAACTCCAAATAGCACTGAGCTTCCTTGGAGAGAGTTTTGGAAATGTTAAACAAACACAGACAGTCAATATTATGTTTTTTTCTGCACAAAAAAATGTTTACTACAAATCTAATTAGCTTTTAAATGATGAATTTCTCCTAGGAATCTCCTATGTGTGGGATTCAGTATGGATCAGTATGGATCTCATTATAGCTGATAGGCTACTTCTCCAGTCATGACCTCCCTTACAGAAAAAAACACATGCATCTCATATGTGAATGATCACAGCTGTTTTTAGACACCTCACGTTATTTTTCTCACGCATGTGAAAAACATGTTATTACAAAAAACGTGACAACAAAAACGCAAGCTCATCTGCTGTTTTAAGGCATGACCTGATGTTAAAGGTGTTAAATTATAAAGTCATACTTAATGTGTTCACGTGATCTTTAGACACATCCCGTCATTTTCCACAAGAACGTGAAAAACACATGTTCAAGTGAAAAAGTGAGATATCACGTAAAATATTTGTGATCATATGTGGGAAAAAATGCAACTGCGTGAAAAAAAACGATTAAGTTTCAAGGCATGATGTGTCACGTCATCACATTCACCTGATGTACCAGGTTTACTTGTGGTTTTTAGATACTTCGGGTGTCATATTTGTGACGTTTCTGTTGGGATGTGATTTTGCCTGTTGGCTACTGTATGTACTGTGACTCAACTCTTACACATCTGAGCAGGAAATGCACATTGAAAGCCTCCTTTATTCATTTTATTTTATTTATTTAAGAGAATTTCCTCATAACCTGAAAACTGCTTTGGATAAATATATATTTTTTTCGACTATCAGTATTAAAACTGGAAACTAGAAGACATTTGTTTTCACATTTACCTCAACAGGGTCGTAGTACTCGTACAGAAGGTGGTTAGGCAGTGGTCTAGGCTGCTGTCTAGGCAAGTATTCATTGGGAGGATAAGCATGAAAAGTTTGCCTGCTTTTTATGTCTCTGGTATCCTCAGCTGTGACATTCATAGTCTCCATGCAGGTGCCCAGGGCCATGTCCTCGATGTCTGAGAAGTGTGTACAGTTTCCATCAGCGTGTCCCTTCACAAATCTCCGAAGTGCCTCTTTGCTCAGGACGTAACCTGCTCCACCGCTCATGTAACCCTGAGCAACGAACGGCCTGAACCTGCGTCCTAAATAGACCGGGTCCTCTGTGTTGTGTTGAGAAAGCAAATAGCGCAGGTTTTCAGGAACAACAAAGGTGTCGTCGTCTGCTTTGAGGAACCAGTCCGCATCGTCCAGATGGTGTTCGTAGATGTACTGGAAGGCCCGGATGGTTTTCCAGTAGAGTTGATTCCGTCCCTCCGTCACGTTGAGCTTCACGGTTGGAAAGTCTGACTCCTCAGAGCTCATGTAGAGCACCTTGTTGCAGCGTTTGCCCCAGACGGCGTGGACATGCTTGGCTCTAGATTCCAGGAACTGGGGTGCTGTTAGTACCCAGCATAACAGCCTCACTTTCTGGGTCAGATCTGTCGCAACACTTTTGTCTTTGCAAAAAAAAAAGTAACAAAAGAGATTTTAGCCAAGGGAAACAAGCGTGAGAGTAATTCATAAGAGTAACTGAGTCTCAACTAATCAGATTTCTGATAGGGGGCACTTGTGTCATGCCCATAGTTACGCTACACGCACACAGAAAGCAGGATATGGTTAAAAATGGATGGCAGTGGGAGATAATTGGGTTGGCTTCAAATTTTTATGTTTATAAAACAATCATGCTGTGTTGGGCCTCAGAATCAGCCCAGAACTCCTTGTTTTTGTTAGACACACGGACCCAAAGTGGTGAATTGGCAAGGGAAATGATTTACTCACTTAAACAGTGAGTATACATCTCTCTGTCTCTCTCTCTCTCTGTATATATATATATATATATATATATATATATATATTTTCTACATATATTACAGCAGCATTGCTCTGCATTAAAAGAGTCTGGGTGCTAAACTGGCCTGCCTGCAGTCCAGACCTGTCACTACTGAAAACATTTGGCACATTATGAATGAAAAATACGACAAATGAGCCCCTGAACTGATGAGCAGCTGAAATCCTGTATCAAACCAGAAAGGGAAAACATTTAACTTTCAAAACTACAGCAGTGTCTCCTCAGTTCCCAAACGCTTACAGAGTGCTGTTAAAAGAAGAGGTGATGAATCACAGTGGTAAACAGGCCCCTGTCCCAACTCTTTTGGAACGTGTTTTGGAACCTGCATTCCATTAAACAGGTTTTCTGTTCTTATTGAAATACAGGGAGTGTTTCTGTAACAGGAGGTTATCATTAGTCTAGACTTCACCTTTAACTTTCAGATTTTGTACACTCACACCAGTGTAGTAACACGTGTAATAAATATGAACTTACCAAGCTTCTGCACCACAGGACTCTCTGTGATGGGGATTTCGAGTGGAGCTGGGTCCATTTTAAAATTAATTGTGATATTTATTATGAAGAAACCCACTGCTACCCCGCTTAAGAAGAGGGCATGAGAGAGCACCTGTTTCATTTTTATTTCCCTGGAACCTAAATAACAACAACAACAACAACAACAAGCCAGACCTTTAGGACGGATCATCAACAAACTCTCAGAGACAGATACAATAAGGAGCGCTCTGCATACATCATCACACACTAACGACTACACTGTGTTTCCACATAAAACTTCCTAACATAAAACTAACGGAAAAGCTTTGTTGACTTTTTACAAGTGAAAAAGTAACACATCCTCTTCAGGCAACAAACTTATGTCATTATTCTGCAAATGTTAGTGCCCAATTTCTCCTGGCACATTTCACAATTTAACATATTAGAAAAAAATGAAGATTAAGTTAAAATTAAGTTAAGACTGAAGTTAAAATAAAATTAAAAAGGACATTAAAAATAAAAGAAACAATATAAATGTGCCATAACTTTTGCACAGGCCTTATTTTATGTTTAAATTCAGCACATAAACACTAACTGTGTATTAAAGTGTACAGAAGTGTTTTTTTTTTTTCTGTAGATGATGTATTAAAGTATTTTCACTTATAAGCAGGTAATTTCAAGTAATTTGAAGATCAAGTCTTTTGAACAGGGGTGCTTAAACTTTTATAAATGTGACAAGTTCCACAATGCTGAATTATCACATTGCTGAAAGAACACCCAAAAAAGGCCCAATCAGATTGGTTCACTACAGATAGTTTTTATATAAAAATATCATAAGCCTTCTGCTTTAATTTTTGACCATATGGGCCCATTTAATATTAAGCCCAACCAGCTGAAACTGCTGTAACCCCTGACTGAGATAACATTAAAAGGCACAGAAGAATATAATCACATAGGGGCTGCTAAAACGCTGAAGACACAGAGCATCGACTAAATTAACTCATCACTGAACTAAACATTGTGTAAAGTAAAAAAGTAAAAAAGCAGATTTTTTTAAACCTACCAGCCACTGAAGGTGAAGGAATCTGTATCCAGCAAAGAGGCTTCCTAAAGGTTGCCTAAGCCACATCACTGAGGCTCTCAAAGGCTGGTAATATAACAGGTTTCTCAAACAGGAAGTGTGAAGGGGTTTTCACCTGATACCGTATTTAAGCATTAATCACACTGGGCAAAAGTGTAACATGAAAACAAAGCGCAATACCTACTGTAAATAACCCTTCAGCAGGTGGGTGGAGCTGCTCTCCAGAGCTCCAGGACTAAGCCCACACATTCTTATACAGCTTTTGTGTGTCTTTTGCATCACTTCTGTAGTGTTTAGGACTCATGTATCCAGATGCTAAGGCTGTAATGAATTAGAATTAATATTATCTTTCATCACCATGGTTTTAGTTTGTTTTTATTAGTTGCTTTTATTTAAATTATCACATTATTTTACAACCTCCTTTCCAAAAAGGTTGGGACGCTGTGAAAAATGTAAATAAAAAAAATGCAATGATACACAAATCATTGAAACCATATATTTCATTGAAAATGCTTCAAAGACAACATTTCAAATGTTGAAACTGAGAATTTTTTTTGTATTTTGAAAAATATAGGCCCGTTTTGAATTTGATGTCAGCAACATGTTCCAAAAAAGTTGGGACGGGGGCGGCAAAAGGCTGGTAAAGTTGTGTAAAGCTTAAAAAAACACCTGGTGGTTAATTGGCAACAGGTCAGTAACATGATTAGGTATAAAAGTAGTAAAGATGAGGAGGGGTTCACTACTCTGTGAAAGACTGTGCAATTAAATAGTGCAACAATTCAAGAATAACGTTTCTCAATATAAAATAGCAAAGAACTTTTGCTTTTCATCATCTACAGTACATAATAACATTAAAAGATTCAGAGAATCTGGAGAAATCTCTGTATGTAAGGGACACGGCCGAAAACCAGTATTTCCTGTCCGTGATCTTTGGGCCCTCAGGCAGCACTGCATTAAAAACAGACATGATTCTGTAGTGGAAATCACTGCATGGGCTCAGAAACACTTCTGAAAACCACTGTCTATGAAAACAGTTTGGCGTTGCATCCACAAAGGCTAATTAAAACGCTAAAACGCAAAGAAGAAACCATATATAAGCATAATCCAGAAATGCTGCCACCTTCTCTGGGCCCGAGCTCATTTAAAATGGACTGAAGGGAAGTGGAAAAGTGTCCTGTTGTCACGCATTTGCCAGTATCAAGGGATGATACGGACTCCAATACCCACGATCCTCAAGGGGACCACATGACTTCGGACAATATCTCGCGCTCCTATCAGCGCTCTCATTCTCCTGAGTACTGATTATTGGCACCTGTGCTTTAGATCATATGATCAGGACAGGATAGTTTTTAAGCCCGGGCTTTAGGGAAGATCAGTGCGAGGTATTGTTTCTTTCCGAACCTTACTGAGCGTTATTTCTGATCATTACTCTGCTGTGTATTTCACCCTTTGCTTTGTTTACTCGACTCTGCTTTTTTGCCTTTACCCTCTTGGATACTGTTGCCTGTGATTTGTGTTCTGTGTTTTTTGAACTACTGGACTGTTTTTCGACTTGCCCTTTTGTCTTGCCCCCTGGTTTTGTTCACACGGTGATTTTATCATCGTTGTGTTTTGTATTGGCTGTTTGGATTTGACCCCTGCTTGTTTTTTGACTTCGTTTTTGCCTGATTCCATTAAATCTCCTTTCGCCTTTTTTACACCGCGAGGGTCTGGATTCTGTTGAAGTGTCACACCTGTGGTCAAATGAATCAACATTTTAAATTCTTTTTGGAAATCATGGACACTGTGTCTTCCGGGCTAAAGACCACTCAGCTTGTTATCAGTTCACAGTTCAAAAGCCGTATTCACGATGGTATAGGGGTGCATTAGCGCACATGGCATGGGTGACGTGCACATCTGTGAAGGCACCATTAATGCTGAATGATATATACATGCTTTGGCAACATATGCTGCCATCCAGACGTTGTCTTTTTCAGGGAAGGCCTTGATTATTTCAGCAAGACAATGTCAAACCACATTCTGCATGTATTACAACAGCATTGATCCGTATAAAAAGAGTCCAGGTGCTAAACTGACCTGCCTGCAGTCCAGACCTGTCACCACTGATGACATTTGTCACATTATAAAATGAAAGGAGACCCTGAACTGTTCAGTAGCTGAAATCCTATGTTAAGCATGAATGGGAAAACATTTCACCTTCAAAACTACAGCAGTGTTTCCTCAGTTCCCAAACGCTTTAGGTGATGAAACACAGTGGTAAACATGCCTCATCCCAACTTTTTTGGAATGTGTTGTTGGCATCAAATTCAAAATGGGCATATAATTTTCAACATTTGATTTGTTGTTTTTGTAGTATTTTCAATGAAATACAGGATTTAAATGATTTGAACATCATTGAATTTTGTTTTATTTACATTTTGCACAGCATCCCAACTTTTTTGGAAATGGGGTTGTATTTGGCTAGTTCAAAAGTGATATTCTGTCCTGTAGAATGTGTAATTTTCTACCCGTGCAAAGCTAAAAGGAAATTTAGAAAGTGATCAGTTTTCTGCAAATTTGGTACTTTGGTACAATGCTCTTTTACTACAAAGGCTGAAATGGGCTTTGTGAAAATCTCAAAGCAAATGTCTAAAATAACCTCAGTGCAGCCGGTCACCACAGGTAACAGACACATAGAGATTTTTCTTTTCTTTTTTTTTTTTTGCTTTTACCACTGATAATTTTAGGTTTTTAAGTTTGCTGTGTCTGATTTTAACTTGGTTATGTCACCTATGTTGTACAAAAACAAAGGTGGTGAGCAGACGCATGCTTTTAAGTGTTTCAGTGTTGGTTGTGTTTATGTGAATCCTGAGTTCTGGTTGATTGCTGTTGTTTTCAATCACTGTGGGTGAAAGAACTTGAATAAGTAGAATGATGCTGGTACAGCTGTCAGGAATAGGCTATAGCCTGATGTAAAGACATTAGCCATGTTCACATGCAGCCTAATAATAATAATAATAATAATAATCTGACTCATACCTCAATCGGAAAAGATACGTCCATGTAAACACCTCAACCAGAAAAGTCTGATTGAGCCATTCGGAATCCAGTTTCTATCCAGTTGAACGAGGTGGGTAATCCTGTAAATATTCCGTTAAATAGAAGAATAATAACCATGTAAACACCTGTATCTGATTACGTTCCCAGTCGGAAAGTTTAAGTCCATTCTGCTTGTGCGTCACGTCATAGTGAAAGTTTATAACGTTCAACATGGCGGAGCAGAAACTGGTCTGCAGAGGAGACGAAGTTCATGCTCTGATCTTTAAAAGACGGCGGTGGGACGGACGTCCAGCTTATGTGTCTCAGAACACGACGTCTTCCTCTCGGCCTTCTTTAATAAGGACATGTGAAGGAAGTTTTCCTGAGTCTGACATCATTTTAAAGCAATTAAAAACACAAGCGCTGCTCACTGCTGCTTATCTCACTCTGACTGGACTCACGTGATGCTGGTTGTCATGGTAACATCTACACTAAGCAGTTCTCTACACATGCACGTCATTTTGGCTCTGATTACTTGTAGTGAGCATGTAAACTGAGATGCTCATCAGGTTGTTGAGTAGAGTGAGAATAAACACCTCAGTCTTAATCTGTAATCAGTCTGTATTCAATCGGATTGGCAAAAATCTTTGCACGTAAACACAGCCACTGTGGGAGATCAGCACATTTGGAAATGGTATCCACCAAGCTGGCCTGCCCAAAAATTGATTTCTGCCTAAGTCGGTGTTTGAGATGATTCATAGAACTTGAACATATTGCTCCGATTGTTTTTCTTATCGTCAGACAGTGTAAAGTGCTCCAACATGTGTGATTTCTCTCTGAGGCAATTAACAACAAGTGCTTAAAGGCCTTGACTGATAAAATGTGTTGTACATTTGGACAATTTTTCTGGCTTGAAAATACATATAACTGAACACCAACAGTCAGATACTCAAGCATTTGAATTCAGGCTTGCCCTAGTAAAATGACATGTACTTGGCCTATACACTGTAACTACATGGCAAAGTTGTATAGATTACTATCTATGTATAATCATAAAAATGATATTGCTGCCTTTCTGGAGGTGAGACACAGAGGTACCTATTATGCTTTCCTTTAGTGTGTTATGTAGCTTTTTGTGTGCATGTAAACAATCTGCAACGTTACAAAGCTCAAAGAATCCGCCAGAGGGAGAAACTCTGTCCCACAGAAACATAGCTGTTTTCTCAGCTGACTGAAACATCTCATTGGAATTCCAGCCCTTTTCCTTTGTTACAAGGTGATGTCATCTCGTAACACAATCCTCATTGCCCTCCTACTGGCAAGCTTGGCATGCCCTCACACAGCACACAGTGACTTCTGGAGGCCGGTGTAGCTGACCTGATTGGACATTTAAGTTTATTATCTTTGACTATGAGAGGACGTTTTAATAAAGAATGCTTTATTGATGATGCTAGATCTAGGTTTAATCTACAACAAGGCTTAATTAGTGACCATCCCACACTGTATCAGTGTAACAGTAGTCTTTTTTGCAGTCATCTGGCCAAAGATTCAGGCATCCTGTTGATAAATCCCACAGTTACATGATATCTTAATAATTAACTAAATGGCCATTGAATGAGCTTAGAAAGAATCATTAACATATCAGGCCTTGCCTTTAAAACTATCCATGACACAAAGTGGAATATGACCCACATTAACCCATGCGATGAATAACTACCCCAAATACTCAGGTTCTGTTCCTCATCTTTGTAAAATGTGTTTTATTGTGTGCTGCAGGGAAATACAGATAACAGATCATTTAATATGTTAACAGGGATTTTGAATGAATATGTACATTTCAAGTTATGTAAATAAAATAAATTACTGAAATGATCATATTACAGATAAACAGCATAAAAAAAAGCTATAGGGTACTTAGATTATAGTCTATGGTGAAGAAACACTCTGCAGAAAACATGCAGGTTCATACAGTTTCATTATGTAAAGCAGCCTCTGGATTAAACCTGTACTTATATCCATATGGACGGAGATGGTAGGCGAAGTACTCCAGGGTGTACATTTCCACTGGACGTATGTAATGAAAGGATATCGTTAAATCTGAGCAGCACCCGGGCCCCTGTTAATAAACAAAACCAAAACAAAGAAGAATCAGTGTATTAAATTAGGTATGTGATGAGTGCAAGTCTCTCGTATTTGCTGCAGTGAGCCAATCACAATCAACCATAATCTGTCTTGAAGGAAAATACATGCATCAAAACCATACATTGTTCGTTTGCCTTAAATTTCAGGTACTTGTTTCCTCAGGTCATGCAAATTTATTTATATATTTATTTAACATAAAAAATAATAATAAAAAAAAGATAAAAGCTGATTTAGTAACTGTTAACACGACTGCTAAAATGAAGATCAGAGTCCATTAGCACAGCAAGGTTGCGTACTAGTTCTTTAGTTTATAGGGCTCCTGAGTTTAGACAGGCAGCTACTCTGTGCCTCTCATTGCTTTTCCTAGATAAAATAATCTCTGTTTTATCTTTATTCAACTGCAGAAAGTTTTGTCCCATTCAGTCAGTGATGTGCTCAAGGCACTTGGCACAAGTAGTTCTGAGTACCATATGCATAGCTGTGGTAAGATATCCCACAGTCTTATAGTATTTGGCCAAGAGGCAGCATGTAAATATTGAATAAGAGTGGCCCAAGAATCAAACCCTGGGGGACACCACAGTTCACTGGCATGCTCTCAGGAACATTATTTTCTATTTTGATAAAGTAGTTCCTTTCTTGCAGGCTGAATCATTTTAGGACAGTTCCTAAGAATCCAACCCAGTTCTCAAGTCTATCTATGAGAACTTTACAGTATCAAAGGCAGCGCTGAGATCGAGCGGGAGTGAAACAGATATTTTTCCAGAGTCTGTCTTGCAATGAACGTCATTAATAACCCTAATAACAGCAGTCTCAGTACTGTGATTAGGCCGGAATCCTGCCTGAAATTTGTCTACACAGCTATTTAAACGTGCCATAGAATACATTTACTCAGCATTTTAAACTGATGTCTGCATACAATGATTGTGACTTTGATTGGGGCGAAAAAATGCCCAGATGTGTAAGATGATCATGAATTATGTGATCAGCTTTTCTCTGATTTGCTGGTTTACAGCAAGGCAATTTTTTTCAGTTTTTGACATAATTTGAAAATACCTGTTTCTCTTTACATTGTGTGTATTTTTCATGATGAATGGACTGAAAGAAATGACCAAAAATGACTTGAAAAAAAAGTCTGGTTCCAGTGACTTACATAAAAATTCTCCTGTAAAGTTACCATTTTGGAGATACAAGGTTTTGTTTCGACAACAGCGGAATAAACTAAATTGAAGCTCACTATGAAACTTTCAAATAAGATGATCTGGCTTTAACCATCAAAAACTAGATATATAACAGCATGGCTGCTACTTACAGGTTGCTGTTGTGGTTGTGATGCTAAGAAAGTTGGAACTGCCTCTCTCTTTGTGTCTAACACTGGATTAATGTTGTCCTGAAGTTGGCTTCCTATTCGCCAGCTTGTTTTGCAAATTTTCTGTTCCACCTAAAATGGTGTTAAGATCCATTCTGGCACCTGTACACAAGCTGTAGCATTTAAGGTGGAGCAGAACATTGAATCAAGAAGCTGGCGAACAGGAATCCAACTTCAGCCTTGTTTAAAGACAAACATCCGCCATGCCTGTATAGTATAGTGTAAATGGTACATTTCTGCAGTCTCCCATTTTGATTGCTGTTGCTCTATTGTCACTGTTTCCTGCTGGGCTAGAACTCAGGCTGGTGTATGTAAATTTTGGGTGTGTAAATATTAACAAGTCAAGACTGTTAGATTTTGGAGTTGGCATGTGACAAATAAGGGATATTTGAAGGAGAGGACAAAAGCCGTTGAGGTTCATGGTATGTCAGTTCCATGTACCAAACTCTCATTCACCTGTGCCGATGAAAATACAGATTTAAAGAACCTTTAATGACAAAAAGCTAGTAAGTTGCTTGTACGACTTTCTGTAATTAATTCTGAAATAAATAGATCTGTAATTACTAAATAGAGTCGCTTCTTGATTTTTCTTTTGTAAGAGAGGCTTCACAAGTGCATTTTTTAATGTGTTCGGAAAACGTCTGACGTGATTGAGGTGTTCACTATCTGTAGTATGCCCACTGATATTGAGGGAAACACATTCTTTAAAAAGTTGGTTGGTAGCGTATTGAGACTGCAGGTGGATGATTTGAGAATATTCACTGTATCAATTAAAGATTCACTATTGACACCACTAAACTGGGACATTTTAACCACAATATCTTTACGTGGTGATGGAGAGGATCTCTTTGGTAGATCTAGACGTACTAAAGGCTTGTTCAGTATTATGGATTTTAGTGTTAAAAAAGCGCACAAACTCATTACATCTCTCAGTTGATACTAAATCAGGGCCATGTTTTTGATGCGGTTTGTAATGTTTGTAAAAAAGGACCCAAAAACTTCCAATCAAGCATGTAGATGTGTTGTGTGCAGAGATCAATTCTGTTAGCTAACAATAGCGTTTCACTTGCTAGCTTGTTTTCCTTCTGTTCTTGATTCATTTGCATGCTAAATGAGCAGACTAGACGAATTTAGGGGTCACGTACTTCTGTTTGCAGCTGATTTTTCTTTTGTCCAGCACCAAAAGTTGAACAAGTTGTCCCCAGGTGTGTATTCATTACAAGATCACACCTGGTCCCACGGCACTTTTGCCTTTAGAGTAGCAAATTGGCAAGTGCTCGCCCAAATCCCTCTACAACCATGTGTCATCGTCATGCTGATATTAGGTGCTCTATGACACAAATTAATGGTGTTTTAATGGAATTGGAATTTTCCAAAACGCTAATAATTTATCGCACAAAGCTGAGAAAACCAGCTTTGACCCAGAGCTCTTAATACGGCCAGGACGCCAGGATGACGACATAACTTCAGGGTTCTGTTGTTTAATGTAGTAGGCTTAGCTTTTCAGCCCTTTTGTTCTCCAGACCAGGAAATGCACCTCAAAGGTTCAATGGAAAATTTATAGAATACTGATTATACAGAATTGATCTTGGTTTGGTTTGGCTAGGTGGAAGCCAAAGAACCCAAATCTGTTTTCTACTGGGAAACGGGATCCATGTGTTTACATATTTACCTGAACACGTTCGTAGTACTCATATAGAAGATGGCTGGACAATGATTTAGTCAGTTGCTTAAGCAAGTACTTGTCTGGGGGAAAAGCATGAAAAGTATGCCTTCGTCTTTTATCTCTGGTATCCCCTGCTGTAACCTTCATGGTCTCCATACACCTGCCCAGGGCCATGTCCTCGATGTCTGAGAAGTGTGTACAGCTTCCATCAGCGTGTCCCTTCACAAATCTCCGAAGTGCCTCTTTGCTCAGGACGTAACCTGCTCCACCGCTCATGTAACCCTGAGCAACGAACGGCCTGAACCTGCGTCCTAAATAGACCGGGTCCTCTGTGTTGTGTTGAGAAAGCAAATAGCGCAGGTTTTCAGGAACAACAAAGGTGTCGTCGTCTGCTTTGAGGAACCAGTCCGCATCGTCCAGATGGTGTTCGTAGATGTACTGGAAGGCCCGGATGGTTTTCCAGTAGAGTTGATTCCGTCCCTCCGTCACGTTGAGCTTCACGGTTGGAAAGTCTGACTCCTCAGAGCTCATGTAGAGCACCTTGTTGCAGCGTTTGCCCCAGACGGCGTGGACATGCTTGGCTCTAGATTCCAGGAACTGGGGTGCTGTTAGTACCCAGCATAACAGCCTCACTTTCTGGGTCAGATCTGTCGCAACACTTCTGTCTGTGCAGGAAAAGTGGCAAAAAAAGATTTTACACAAGGGAAACAAGCGTGAGAGTAATTCTCTTACAGGTTAGCGTGCACATTTTGAAGAAGGAGATCAATGTAATCTCTCTCTGTACCATCATGTACCTGGATTTTTGCATGTACCTCTCAAAGAAACAATAACATGAAAGTTGAATGCTCACTCAAAACTCACTAATAATAGAAGTCACTGGGCAGTTCTAAGAATAACTGCTTGAAATAAGCCGTGAGAATCCCTCAGGACCTTTGTCTATACTTTTAGTTTATTTTTATTTAATATTACCATCCAGCTTGTGTTTAAAGTCTTCAGGTATTCTAGTAATACTTTGATCTCATTGTTAGGTTTTGGTTGGAAACAAAACAGTTAAGATCTTGAAACATCTAACAGTTATTAGGATTTTGCTCTCTGTGATATGTAGGAAGATACAGTCAAGCGAGCTTTAAAACTTCACAAGCTGAACTGAACATAATTATTATTAGGTAGTGACAGCAGAATCAACCAATCACGTTTTGATTTACAACCCGATTTTTAAGTTGGGACGCTGTGCAGAATGTGAATACAAATAGAATGCAATGATATGCCAATCATGTAAACCCTATTTTTAAAGGAAAATGCTACAAAGACAACATATCAATTGTTGAATCTGAGAAATTTTATTGTTTTTTGAAAATATATATATATATATATATATATATGCCCATTTTGAATTTGATGCCAACAACATGTTCCAAAAAAGTTGGGACGGGGCATGTTTACCACTGTCAGACCTCAGGACACCACTTCCCCTCAGTCCATTTTAAATGAGCTCGGGCCCAGAGAAGGTGGCAGCATTTCTGGATCCTGTTTATATTTGGTTTCTTCTTTGTGTTTTAGAGTTTTACTTAGCATTTGTGGATGCAGCGCCAAACTGTTTTCATAGACAGTGTTTTTCAGAAGTGTTTCAGAGCCCTTGCAGTGATTTCCCTACAGAATCATGTCTGTTTTTAATGCAGTGCTGCCTGAGGGCCCAAAGATCACAGCTAGCAAATACTGGTTTTTGGCCTTGTCCCTTACATACAGAGATTTCTCCAGATTCTCCAGAGTCTTTTAATGTTATTATGTACCGTAGACGATGAAAAGCAAAAGTTCTTTGCTATTTTATGTTGAGAAACATTATTCTTGAATTGTTGCACTATTCGCCCACACAGTCTTTCACAGAGTGGTGAACTCCTCCTCATCTTTACTGCTGAAAGTCTCTGGGATGCATTTTTAGACCCAATCATGTTACCGACCTGTTGCCAATTAACCACCAGGTGTTTTTTTTTTTTTAGCATTACGCAACTCTATCAGCCTTTTGTTGCCCCCATCCCAACTGTTTTGGAATGTGTTGTTGCCATCAAATTCAAAATGGGCCTATATATTTTCAAAAAACAATCAAATTTCTCAGTTTCAACAATTGATATGTTGTCTTTGTACTATTTTCAACAGAATATAGGGTTTAAATGATTTGCACATCATTGCATTTTGTTTTTATTTACATTTTGCACAGCGTGCCAACTCTTTTGGAAATGGCGTCTAACCAATTTCATGAAGAAAAAACATCTCTCTAGGCCAGTGGTTACCAACCCTGGTCCTGGAGAGCTACTTTCCTGCAGAATTTAGTTCCAGCCTGCATCCAACATGCTGCCTCTCTCCTAACAGTAATGCAGCTGATCCAGTTGATCGGGAAACTAAGAAGAAACTAATAAGGTGGAGCAGATGTGGCAGACTGTGGCTGAAACTTGACTCTACAGGAATGTAGTTCTCCAGGATGTGGGTTGGAGACCACTGCTCTCGGACTTCTAGGAAGTTTGACTCACATCAATGTCTCTGAATAACAGTTGCCTAACCTGGGGCACAATTTTGCTGCGCTTTCTTTTTTTCAGTCTAAAACAGATGAAAAATACTTAGGTGTAGTAGTGTTAGCTTAGCTTATTGTTAGAAATCCCAAAAATTCCCTTATTGTATCACAATTTCTTAAAATGATGCTTTTAATGCGTCCAGCCTGTCTACTGTACTGAGTCTCAAAATGGACTTGAGAGTGTCTCTGAGATCTTTCCATTCCCTGAAATAGTCGACTCCCATCCACATGTTTAGCCAATATGCCTCATTCAAAATGTCTGGTAAATCATTCTAACTGTAACACTACTTCTGTAGTATACAGATTGAATGTGAATGCGGTTGTTTTATGTTGGCCGTACGAAAAGGAGGTTTAGAGACAGATTATGTGAACATTAAATACTATTATTACCCAGAACCCTTAATATAGTATGGCCATGGATTATAAGGCACCTAAACATCCAAGCCTCACCTCGTTACGAGTGATGGCCATTGAGGATATTCCACAGTTCATTAGAGGAGGTGAAAGATTAAGGCAGTTACTTCAGAGGGAGACATTTTGGATTTATACTCTTAAAGATACAGAGTGTCCTGGTTTGAATGAGGATGTTGATTTCTTTTCTTTACATGTTTTTTCCTCTTTTCCTTTTCTTCCTGACCAACAGGTGGCAGAAGCTTGTGTATATCGTTGCCTTCAGAACAAAACCTCATATCTCCATTTTTGTCGTTTTTTCAGTTTTTGGCATAATTTGAAAATGCCTGTTGTTCTTTACATTGTCTGTAAATTTCATGATGAGTGGACTAAAAGAAACGGCCCAAAAAAAGTCTGGTTCCATTGACTTACATTAAAAGTAAACTAGGTTTTTTTCCTTCTCCTGTAAAGTTACCATTTTGGAGATACATGGTTTTCTTCTGACAACAGTGAAACATAAATGGATGTATATATAAATGCAGAATTAGCATTTTTTTCTTGTCTTTTTTTTGACCAATTTTTGTCATTTTTGGCCTGAACTAGAGTGTAACTTTAGAACATAATAGGGGTGGAACAGGACCTCCTTTGGGGGTCTGGAGACTCGCAGACATGGTTAAAGCTGTTAAACATCTTTTGAATACATTAAAATTATGGTCTCATTTCACCACAGGAATTTCAACCAAACAACGCAACAGTTTCCACAGTTGATCTAACACAGATAACCAGCCCTCATGTTAAGTGAGACAGTAGAATATATAACCCTCATCAGAACGACAAACCGTAGCCTGTTACTTTGGTTGGGTCTGACAGTGACCAGTGGCAGTACCAAACATTTGCTGACAGAAGTCAACAACAACTTCCCTCTGGCTTCTATTGTAAGTGAGTTTTGAGTCACTAGGTTTTCTGCTCTGTAAATACAGGAGAAACACACAAAACAAACGAAGTGCTGCAGAGGTCACCAAGATTAAGCAAACAGACTCTTGCTCATGGGGCCTGGGTGCAGCAAACTCACAGTGACAATTTCATACTGGAAGTGGCAAACCTGGAAAATTCATCTGCATCCACAAGGCACGATCCTAGAAGGAAGAAATGATCTGGCACTCCGTCTACAAAAAGCCTTTATTGAAACATGGCGAAATGTATAAAACTGTGTTGACGCTTCTCAGGCCTTCATCAGGACACAGAAAATGGTATATCAATAGAAAACCACCTGAGAACACCCATATATATATATACACACACAAGATTCTGCCACCTATTGGTCAGGAAGAAAAGGAGAGAAATCAACATCCTCATTCAAACCAAGACACTCTGTAGCTTTAAGAGTATAAATCCAAAATATCTCCCTCTGAAGTTACTGCCTTTATCTATCACCTCCTCTAATGGACTTTGGAATAATCTCGATGACCATCAGTCTTAACAAGCTGGGGCTTGGATGTGTACCTGCTTTATAATGCATGGCCATAAGTTACTTCAGAGGTTCAGAGGGAGACATTCAGGATTTATACTCTTAAAGCTACAAAGTGTCCTTTTCTTCCTGAACAACAGGTGGCAGAAGCTTGTATATATATATATATATATATATATATATAGTGTATATATATAGCTGCTGTCATAAGAAAACCTCGTATCTCCAATATTTTTCAGTTTTTGACATAATTTGGAAATACCGGTTACCCTTTACATTGTGTGTACTTTTCATGATGAATGGACCAAAAGAAACGGCCCAAAATGACTTGGAAAGAAGTCTGGTTCTATTGGCTTACATTAAAAGTAAAGTAGTTTTTTTCCTTTTTTCCTGTATATATATATATATATATATATATATATATATATGTGTGTGTATGTGTGTGTGTGTGTGTGTGTGTGTGTGTGTGTGTGTGTGCCCGGAAATGTCTTTATTTCTTTTTTCTGGTATTTATTTTGCATATTCCTTGTGGATGCAGATGGATTTTCAGGTTTTTACCACTTCCAGCATGGAATTGTTACTTGGCCACTGAAATTACTCTTCGCAGACTGTTTGCTTCACTCATTTTTACCTTTAATATTTTTTCACACTTTCTCATTCCTGTAGTGCTCAACACTGTTTTTCATGTGTTCACTTTCTTCTGTAGATAGATAAATATGCAAACTTACCGATGTCCTGCATCACAGGAGTCTTTTTGATTGGGCTTTGGAGTGGGGCTAAGTTTACATTTGTTTTAAAATTCATTAAAATATTTAGTATGAAGTATCCCAATGCAGTTCCACTTGAGAAGAAGATGCCAGAGAGCAAATGATTCATTGCTATTGCACAGGAAACTAAAACCTAAAAAAAAAGTAAAAATAAAAACTCTTAAGATTTGACACCAAACACTGAAATGCACTCTGCTTCACATATAACCTCAGAGTTTAATCTCAATATCTCAGTTATTTCAAAGAGAAATTAAAACAGTGTCAAATGCTTATGAGTATATCCAGTTATCACATACTTCAAAAACCTGGGCCAAAGCAGAGTTTCAGTTAGTAGAACGCTTCTATGTTAATTAGCTTTCATTCTCACATTACTTTTACTTTCTATATAATATTATACACAACTACTTTCATTTCAGTTTTAGTAGTCATCAGTACAATATCTGGACCAGGAGCTAGTGGATATGGGACGTACTGGCCTTTTTTAACGGCCCTCATCGTACCATCGTTTCAGTAATAATGCTCATCACCACAAAAACAAGTCTTTCACCATTTTATACTAATCCACTGAATAGTACAGTACTGTGCAAAAGACCACTTTAATTTGTTCGATTTTTACCATTATGCATTTTTCATAAAACAGGAGGAAAAATCATAAAACTTACTTCAGTAAAAAATAACAAAGAGCCCTCAACAACCAAATATAATATCAGTTATTTCAGTATTCACTGTGTCCACTCACTCTTTATCTATATTACAGCAGGGATTCTCAACCTTTTCCACCCCAAAGCCCACCTGTGTATAATTACAAAGCTCAGCGGCCCACAGGAAAACTAAAGCCATACATACATACATACATACATACATCATCATCTAAACCGCTTATCCTTCTGGGTTGCGGTGGGGAGCTGGAGCCTATCCCAGCTGTCATTGGGCAAAAGGCAGGATACACCCTGGACAGGTCGCCAGTCCATCGCAGGGCAGACAGACAGACATACACATTCACACACTCACTCACACCTAGGGGCAATTTAGCATGTCCAATTAGCTTAACTGCATGTCTTTGGACTGTGGGAGGAAACTGGAGTACCCGGGGGGTTGGGGGGGGTACTAAAGCCAACTTTTTAAAATACATCTTTATTTTTCTTTTCTTAAATGCTGACACTGAAAACCTGAAATTTGGTCAGATTGGCCATTCTGGTTGTCAGTAGCTTTGCAAAATTTGCAGGTATGTTAGAAAAAACATAAAACTTTTAAAAACCTTTTCACTGAAAATATTGAGATTTGAGAGCTTTTAAGAGTTTTTGTGATTAACCACACTCCACTCACCGGGCTTTTGGATTAGCGTCGTCACAGTCAACAATAATGATAATGATCTTACTTGATTTCTGCTTCTTTGTCATTGGTTTATCAGTTTGAGTCTAACCTCTCAGGTCACTGATGCCCGACCAAATATACGCTCCGAGATCCGTGAGTTGAGATCAAACACATCTCTTCTCTATTATTCTATTGTTTTTAACAGCAGCTTGTGCTGAGAGTCTAAAGAGTCAGTAAAATTGTCGCTATGCTGACTGTACGGCGCCGACGTGCTTCTAGAAGAGAAGGAGAGCCAGCTCTACTGATGAATTTCCTCGTTTGATCACAGAACGCATTTCCATCAGCAGTGAACTGAACAGGGTTCAGTTTAAAGTGGACCGAGACCCGTGGGTTTCTGCTGGACCGGTTCAGCTGTTTGTTGCAGACCCAAGTGGAGTTTTCATATGTGTCAGACGGAGCAAACTTAAGAAAAAGATGTGATAAGTCCTCACCAAACAAAGCGCCCTGAGAAACCGCTCCATCTCTGGTTCGCTGTCTGCACCACGAGCCCGTGGCTGCGTTGTCTCAGACTGATTATATTTAATTTGCCACTACCGCGACATTTTTATTTGTTTGTCTCTATTAATATTTATATTGGTTATAATGTGAAAACATTTAATTCTTAGATTTTTAATTAATAGATTAATCTTTATTTCCACTTACAGTGCCGTTACTGGCCCACAACGAATTACTGCCTCTCTCTGTGTACCGGCCCACGGACCACTAGAGGGTGCTTCATGGCCCACTGGTGGTCTGCGGTCCTCATAGGTTGAGACACCCTGTATTACAGCTTCCATTCTTTTCAGGAGACTCACTTCCTGCTTCTCAAAGAAATCTGCAGACACACCTCCAAAGTTCAGTCTTAGAAGTTGGTTTTGTGTTTTCTGCTTCTCACGGTTTAAATAATCCCAAACACATTCAGTGGTGTTGAGGTCTGGACTCTGGGGTGGTCAGTCCATTGTTCAGCTTCTTTGTTTGATGTGTCCGTCTCCTTTTCTCAGTGAGGTTCTTCTTGACAGCTACACATCCTTTCAGACCCACAGCGCTGAGTCGTCTTCTCACAGTGGAAGGATGGACAGAAACACCTGTGGATGTTTTCAGATCTGAAGCAGCTTGATTTTCTCCTCTCTCTCAGAGATGAAAGCTTTTATCCTTCTATTATGTTCACAGGTCAGTTATATCGTTGATGTCTGCGGGTCAATTCTGACCCTGTGTGGCTAAACCGTTTCAAAACAGTCCTAGAACAGATGTTACTCTACAATTTCATCTGACCTTACTTGCCAACTTCGTACCTGTCAACAAGTTATTTTAGATTAACTTATTTGATTGCATTTTACTGTTTATACCTCTACCTCTTAAAACAGGGCATTCATTTTCATTGCAAAACATTTTAGGGCATTTTATGGATTTATATTACTATTTTGGACAAAGGAGCCAGATATTGTACTGGATTATATCTTTCTAGCATATATGAACTTCACATATATTTTATTTGTGTTGAGTTTCACTCATTCCTTCCTGATCTTGTGGGCCCTGATGGCAATAAGTTCATCGTATTTGACAGTTCAAGTGAAAAATCAGCCTTTTTTCTCTTAAAAAAGTGGTGGGTTTGTACAATTGAGTCATACATGATTACTTTTGCTGAGATGAACTGATTCACCTGGCAAAATGCATACAAAGCATAGAAGAAGGCTATACCATATACAAAGACTCAATCAACTAGAATCTCATACAGTCTGAACTAAACGTACAATTAAAACTTAAAGTAAAATACAAGTTAGAAGTAAACCTACCAGACATTCACAGGTGTGGAAAACGGATGTGTATCCAGTAAGCAGGTTCCTAAAGGTTTAACAAGTCACTTTGACAGATTCACGCTGCTGACACAGCCAAACCCTGTATGGCACACAGGAGGAAGTCTGAAGGGTTTTTGTCCTGGAAGTATATTTAAATATCTGACTTCACTGAGGACTATAATGGCGGAGTGCATATTTACTGAATAAACAAAGCGTAAAACTAGTGTCACGTCTTCACAAGAGACAAATGCTCCTTGTGCTCCTGAACTCCAACTCCCAGAATTCAAAGGAGGATCACTTGACTCAGGCATCATAGATCAGCTTTGCCTGTAACCTGATTCTCCTCACCTGTGTTTAGCCCTATGTATGTAGGGAGTGGTGGGGATGGCAGAATCCATCATAGGCAATCACTAAATCACAGTCACTTTAAAACGTATATATCTTACTCTCAGACTATCCCGTTTAATATATTTGTACATAGCAGAGAGTTTTCTTACATAGGTTCCTCCTGTCTCTGTATATTTTGTATATACAACCCCCTTTCTAAAAAAGTTGGGACGCTGTGCAGAATGTAAATAAAATAGAATGTAATGATGTGAAAATCATGTAAACCATATTTTTAAAGGAAAATGCTACAAAGACAGCATATCAAATGTTGAAACTGAGAAATTTTATTGTTATTTGAAAAATATATGCCCATTTTGAATTTGATGTCAACAACAAAAAAGGTGGGACGGGGCCTGTTTACCACTGTGTTTCATCACCTCTTCTTTTACCAACACTCTGTAAGTGTTTGGGAACTGAGGAGACACTGCTGTAGTTTTGAAAGTGAAATGTTTTCCATTCTTGTTTGATACAGGATTTCAGCTGCTCCACAGTTCAGAGTCTCCTTTATCATATTTTTCATTTCATAACTCTCCAAATGTTTTTGGTGGTGACAGGTCTGGACTGCAGGCAGGTCAGTTTAGCACCTGGACTCTTTTAATATGGAGCCATGCTGTTGTAATACATGCAGAATGTGGTTTGACATTGTCTTGCTGAAATAATCAAGGCCTTCTCTGAAAAAGACATCATCTGGATGGCAGCATATGTTGCCATAAAACATGTATATATCGTTCAGCATTAATGTTGCCTTCACAGATGTGCATGTCACCCATATCATGTGCAGTAATGCACCCCTGTACCATCATGAATACTGGCTTTTGAACTGTGCACTGATAACAAGCTGAGTTAGCCCGGAGGACACAGTGTCCATGATTTCTAAACCACAGGACACTTTTCCACTTCCCCTCAGTCCATTTTAAATGAGCTCAGGCCCAGAGAAGGTGGCAGTGTTTCTGGATCCTGTTTATAAATGGTTTTTTCTTTGCGTTTTTGAGTTTTAACTTGCATTTGTGGATGCAGTGATGAACTGTTTTCACAGACAGTGGTTTTCAGAAGTGTTTCTGAGCCCAAGCAGTGATTTCCACTACAGAATCATGTCTGTTTTTAATGCAGTACCGTCTGAGGACCCAAAGATCAGGGCCAGCAAATACTGGTTTTTGGCCTTGTCCCTTGCATACAGAGTTTTCTCCAGATTCTCTGAATCATTTAATGTTATTGTGTACAGTAGATGATGGAAAGCAATCACAATCCATCATAATTTACTTTGAAGGAAAATACATGCATCAAAAACATACTTTTTGCAGGAATACTGGCTTTTGAACTGTGCACTGATAACATGCTGAGTGGTCTTTAGCCCAGAGTACACAGTGTCTATGATTTCCAAAAAAATTTCAAATGTTGATTTGTTGGACCACAGGTCCAATATATATATATATATATATATATATATTTAAGGAATTGAGCCATGGTCCTTAAACAAATGTGTCAAAATCAGGCTGTCAGCAACACGTGTATTTTTATTTGAATTGTTTTGCTTTTTTTGTAGCAAGGCTGAAACCAACTACATGCTTTGACAAAATGAAGGATTTAAATATTCTTCATCTTCTAGATGATGTATGTTCATATTTTCAGGTTAAACTGTTTTTTAAAAGCCGCAACAGGACATTTGAGTTTTACATTACGTTCACGTCTTATTCTGTGAGTTTATTGGCTGGTTGCAAAGCATAAATCTGATTACTGTCTTACTCATGAAAACCCAGAATTTTTATCTGATCTGATTACCAAGTGCATGTTAATACATTGATCAGATAACGGACAAAATCTCATTTTCTGCAGTTATCAGATCATTAAGTGCATGCAGATGCACTTAAAGTTTTAACTGACCAACCTAATCGTATTTTGTAAATCTAAACAAATTTAGAGTTTTATGCCTGCATCATACTCAAAAAGAGTTGGGACAATGGCAAAGTAAGACTGAAAAGCTTTTAAAATATTCAAGTTACACCGTTTTGAAACATTCCTCAACAAACAGGTAAATTGGTAACAGGTGAGGGGATCATGAATGGGTAAAAAAGGATCATCCATCAACGGCTCGGTCTTTGAAAGCAGGCATGGGTCGTGGCTCACCACTTTGTGCTAACTTTTTAAGAGAATTGTCAAACGGTTCAAAAAGCATCCTTCTCAAGGCAAGACTGCAAAGAATTTGGGTCTTTCTGTAAGGGTCCAGCCTATGCTGCCAGCTGCCAGCAGAGGGCGACGGCAACAAGGCACCACAAGTTTGGGGAACTCCAATTCCCAGAAACCCTTGGGCTGATTAGGCCCAACCTGGCACACCTGTAGACTCCTCTACTTAAGGCCGTGGCAAAAAGCAGCACTTTGTCACACCTTTGTAGAGGGGTGACCGGTACGGTACTTGGCCCAGGTGGGTATTGAAAAGAAAAGAAAAGAAAAGAAAAGAAAAGAAAAGAAAAGAGGGCTGTTAAAAAAACAAAAAAACAAAAGAGAGACATTGCCCCATACTACTTAAAAGCTCAAAAGGAAAACTTAAACAAGAAACGTCTCCAAGCCATGCGAAAGTGTTTGCCCCACGAAGAGCAAACAGGTGAAACATAAAACTGATCTTTTGTTTTCTGATTATCTTTTATTCCACTTTTTCTATATCGGCCTTGTTAGAGCACGCTGCTTTTCAGCCTCCCCTTTGTTTGCCATTTCCCCCCGTTTTTTAATTCCCATTCATTGTGGTGTTATTCCCGTTTTTGCATGTTCTTCATGGTGGCAAAGTGGTGACTCCTCGAACCGCCAATCAGTACATTAGCAGTTTGAACCTGGCTCTGGGCCATCTCAACCCCAACGTGCACAAGCACTCCATAACCTCATTACATTAATTTAAGACCCTTTCTCACGAGTTTCCTCTCTGCACTTGGGTCCGCCTCCCTGCCATCCCGTAACACTTTCACCATCTACCATACATAATATTGTGGAAAGATTCAGGGAATGCAGAGGAATCTCAGTCCATGTAGGGCAAGACCAGACACCACTGTTGAATGTGTGAACTCCGAGCCCTTAGATGGCACTGCATGAGAAACCATCATGCTACTGTGCTTCTGTGGGCTCTGGAGTACTTTGGAAAACCATTGTCACTTAACACAGTCGCCGCTGCGTCAAGAAATTCAACCTGAAACTCCGTTACACAAATAGAAAGCCATACATCAACTCGCAGAAACGCCGCCGAGTTCTGTGGGCCCGAGCTCGTCTCAGATGCTATGAAGAACAGTGGAAATGTGTGCTGTGTTCAGATGAGTCTAAGTCTCAGCTTGTTTTTAGGAAAAATAGACGTTGAGTTCTCAAAAGGGCCATCCAGACTTTTATCAGTGAAAGGTGCAAAAGCCAACATCCTTTATGATATGGGGATGCATCAGTGTGCACAGAATTAGTGACTTGCATATTTGTGATAGTACCACCGATAGAGAGGTACGCATTGGGATTTTCGAGACCCATATGCTGCCATCAAAACCACATGTTTTCTGATCACATGACTCTTCTCACACAATGGCTGCAGGTTTCTAGAACTCCCGCTTAACTTCATCTTAATAAGGAAAGTTCGGCTTCTTCTACAACTCCAGTGGGCAAGCGTTTAAAATCCTCTGGACAAAGCAACAACATAGCCAATGCAATCCCCTTTAATGAAACAACAAGAGACTATTGTTAAAAATGAGGTTTGGGTGGCAATTGCAGATATTTCCCAAACTCTACATTCACTTCAGTCTTAGTTTAAGGTACAGATGACAATCGTGTGAAGCCTCATTGAGAAAGTAGACCACATCCAATCTGAAACAAGACGATTAAAACAATATACTTAAAGACACAACGACATTGGAATAGTTGGTCTACAACCAAAAGAAGGTAATGACCCAGTTGGATTTCTGCAAAAAATGCTGCCTATATCAATCCCGTCTCAAACAAGATGCTATGGAGATTAAACGAGCAGATTGGATTTATAATCAGCAGCAACGCTCGAGTCTCGACATTGCCTGCTGATTTTTGAGGTGCTGGTGTACAAAGATCGACAAGCCATATTAAATGGGGCCAGAGAGGTAAGCAAGAGGGGACCCATCAAGGGCTTCAGGAAAAAAAAACCTTTCTTTCACCGACCACAGCACCTGTACCTCGAAGAGAACTTTGTGCTAAGGTCATCTCCTTGTTCCTCATCTCCCTTGCTACACTACACGTTACTCACAAAGGTGAGTCAAGTCAAGTCAAAGTTTGTTTATATAGCGTTTTTTACAACAGGTGTTGTCACAAAGCATCCCCATGAGCGTTGCCAATGGTGACAGTGGCAAGGAAAAACTCCGTAAGAGCAAAAGGAAGAAACCTTGAGAGGAACCGAGACTCAAAAGGGGAACCCATCCTCCTCTGGTTGACACCAGATAGCAAACAGCATTAGTGTAAAATATTAGAATACAAAATGGGGGAAAAACAGGCGGAGCAATGATTAATTACAGTTTAAATTTATGCAGCAGCAGCAGGAGGGTCAGTTCATGAGGGTCTAGCAGCTCTGGTGGCTCCCATGTGTCAACTCAGACAAATGTCCCTCAAGGGCTCAAATAAAGAGAGAGAGAGAGAGAGAGAGAGAGATTAACAGGACAGGTACATTTATGGAGAGATATTAGACAGTAATAGTGCGAACAACTGATATTAGCAGGCTGTTATTTTGTGAGCGGAGCG